GCGGATATGGGATACTAAATATGTTCTGCCTTTTTTACTGTGGTCAAATGAGTTCTTATTGCATAATTGTTATTCTTAAACCCACCCCCTCTCTCTGCTTAGAAATCTGAAGAGGCATTTCTAAGACTCTGGGCCTATGCTATAATTGCATATATCACAGTATATGTTTTAATGGGAGAACTATACTGTAGGCAAACTCAACTAGAGCGCCGTATAGAGCTTCTATATCTGTGATGAAAGGCATGTGTTTGTATTGTCTGTATGTATGATAAAATCCTGTGTGTATGTGTTTTAAAAATATGTGCTGAGGATTCAAAGAAATACATTGATGACCACATCTCAGAATGCTAATAATATAATTAGTGTGAAACAGTGTGAAACAATTCTTTGAAGGCATAGATCATAGAATCATAGAGTTGGAAGAGACCTCATGGGCCATCCAGTCCAAACCCCTGCCAAGAAGCAGGAATATTGCATTCAAAGCACCCCTGACAGATGGCCATCCAGCCTCTGTTTAAAAGCTTCCAAAGAAGGAGCCTCCACCACACTCCGGGGCAGAGAGTTCCACTGCTGAACGGCTCTCACAGTCAGGAAGTTCTTCCTCATGTTCAGATGGAACATATTAGGGGAGATGATCAGTGCTGGGATTTGAAGAATAGCAGCACAATAACAATATGTAGAAATCTGTCAGTGGAGTTGTGCCAAATAAAAAAATTAAAAATGAGTTATAAGTGGGAACCCATTGTTGGCTTGGGGTAGAATATTATGTGCAGATCAAGATATACCAAACCACTTCGATACAGGGCTTGGAAAATTGCACTTAATAGCATAAAAATGCATATTCTCATCATATTTTTTATTCCTGTAAATTTTGTTAGGTTGGATTTGGTACCTTTTGGAAACAAGTTCCACATTTATGCTATATATTTAGAGAAAATAGGATGTGGACAATTATTACTATGAGATGAGCAGTTGGAGGTCATTTGTCTTTCTCCCTTTCTTATGTTTTTGTCACTTCATTTTGTAGTGTACTGTATATGCTCGAGTATAAGCCAACCTGAATATAAGCAGTGGCATCTAAATTTACCACAAAAAACTGCCACCAGCAACCCCAAGGCTTCTCAATTCTCATTGCCTATGCCATATGCCAGCAAATATGGAAAACACAAGAATGGCCATCAGACTGGAAAAAATCAACTTATATCCCCATACCAAAAAAGGGAAATGCTAAAGACTGCTCAAACTTTCGTACAGTGGTCCTTATTTCTCATGCCAGTAAGGTAATGCTCAAGATCCTGCAAGGAAGACTCCAGCAATACATGGAGCGAGAGTTGCCAGATGTACAAACTCAGACCAAATTGCCAATATCTGCTGGATAATGAAGAAAGGCAGGGAGTTTCAGAAAAACATCTATTTCTGTTTTATTGACTATTCTAAAGCCTTTGATTGTGTGGATAAATTGTGGCAAGTTCTTGGTGGTATGGGCATACCAAATCACCTTATCTCTCTCCTGTATAAGGACCAAGAAGCAACAGTAAGAACTGACCATGGAACAACAGACTGGTTCAAGATTGGGAAAGGCGTACGGAAGGGTTGTATACTCTCACCCAACCTATTCAACTTGCAGAACACGTCATGCGATGTGCGGGGCTTGAGGAATGCAAGGCTGTGGTGAAAATTGCTGGAAGAAACATTAACAACCTTAGATATGCAGATGACACCACTTTGATGGCCGAAAGTGAGAAGGAGTTGAGGAGCCTTCTAATCAAGGTGAAAGAAGAAAGTGCAAAAGCTGGGTTGCAGTTAAACATAAAAAAACCAAGATTATGGCAACAAGAATGATTGACAACTGGGAAATAGAGGGAGAAAACGTGGAGGCAGTGACAGACTTTGTATTTCTAGGTGCAAAGATTACTGCAGACGACAGACTGCAGCCAGGAAATCAGGAAACACTTACTTCTTGGGAGGAGAGCAATGACCAATCTCGATAAAATAGTGAAGAGTAGAGACATCACATTGGCAACGAAGATCCGCATAGTTAAAGCCATGGTATTCCCTCTAGTAACCTACGGATGTGAGAGCTGGACCTTAGGGAAGGCTGAGCGAAGGAAGAGAGATGCTTTTTAACTGTGGTGCTGGAGGAAATCTGAGAGTGCCTTGGACAGAGAGAAGATCCAACCAGTCCATACTTCAAGAAATAAAGCCTGACTGCTCATTGGAGGGAAGAATAGTAGAGGCCAAGATGAAGTACTTTGGCCACATCATGAGAAGAAAGGAAAGCTTAGAGAAGACAATGATGCTGGGGAAAATGGAAGGAAAAAGGAAGAGGGGCCGACCAAGGGCAAGATGGATGGATGGCATCCTTGAAGTGACTGGATTGACCTTGAAGGAGCTGGGGGTGGTGACAACCGACAGGGAGCTCTGGCGTGGACTGGTCCATGAAGTCACGAAGAGTTGGAAACGACTGAACGAATGAACAACAGCAACAACCTGCCATAGTTTTAAAGTTAGCTCTAAGGCCATCTCTTTGCTGTCCACCAACATGCCGTTTTCCGTTCTTGAGTTGAGCATATAGCAACTGCTTTGGGAGACGGTGATTGGGCATTTGGACAAGTGACCAGTCCTGTAGAATTGATGGCATAGGAGCATCACTTCAATGCTGGTGGTCTTTGCTTTTTCCAGCACACTGACATTTGCCCACTTGTCTTCCCAAGAGATTTGCAGGATTTTTTGAAGCAACTCTGATGGAATTGTTCCAGAAGTTGAGAGTGACATCTGTAGATGGTCCACATTTTGCAGCCTCATAGCAGAGTTGGGAGGACAGTATTTTAATAAACATGCATTTTGGTATCCTTATGGATGTCACAATCTTCAAACACTTTTTGCTTCATTGTTTTTGGGACATCCTGCAGCACATTTTGCTATAGTTTTTCAATTAGTGTCTCATAGTCTGAAACAATAGTTTGCGGCAACCACAAATACAAAGTTACTGGAATATAACAACTATTTTCAAAGTAAGCATCGCACAATTAAACAGGAAATAAAACTTCCAAACCACGAACTATTTTTTTCAATTTTTTTTACATTTGATGCCACTTAGAATCATAGAATCAAAGAGTTGGAAGAGACCTCATTTATTTATTTATTTATTTATTTATTTATTTATTTACTCCATTTGTATACCGCATTTATCAGCCTGAGACAGCGACTCAATGCGGTTTACAATAAAAATGGGCAACACTGACAGTAAATAAGACGCACATACACAAACACACATAGTCATCAACGCCTCAATTAGAATCAGATCCCGTTCTCACAGTCCTTTTCCGTACCTTGTTCAAAATGCCGTTTTACTGAGTTAGTTGTCATTGCATAGTTATCCAAACGCCTGTTCATAGAGCCATGGGCCTCATGGGCCATCCAGTCCAACCCCCTGCCAAGAAGCAGGAATGTTGCATTCAAATCACCCTGACAGATGGCCATCCAGCCTCTGTTTAAAACTTCCAAAGAAGGAGCCTCCACCACACTGGGGCAGAGAGTTCCACTGCTGAACGGCTCTCACAGTCAGGAAGTTCTTCCTCATGTTCAGATGGAATCTCCTCTCTTGTAGTTTGAAGCCATTGTTCCATGTCCTAGTCTCCAAGGAAGCAGAAAACAAGCTTGCTCCCTCCTCCCTGTGGCTTCCTCTCACATATTTATACATGGCTATCATATCTCCTCTCAGCCTTCTCTTCTTCATGTTAAATATGCCCAGCTCCTTAAGCTGCTCCTCATAAGGCTTGTTCTCCAGACACTTGATCATTTTAGTCGCCCTCCTCTGGACACATTCCAGCTTGTCAATATCTCTCTTCAATTGTGGTGCCCAGAATTGGACACAGTATTCCAGATGTGGTCTAACCAAGGCAGAATAGAGGGGTAGCATTACTTCCCTGGATCTAGACACTATGCTTCTATTGATGCAAGCCAAAATCCCATTGGCTTTTTTTTGCCGCCACATCACATTGTTGGCTCATGTTTAACTTGTTGTCACGAGGACTCCAAGATCTTTTTCACACGTACTGCTCTCGAGCCAGGCATCCCCCATTCTGTATCTTTGCATTTCGTTTTTCCTGCCAAAGTGGAGTATCTTGCATTTGTCACTGTTGAACTTCATTTTGTTAGTTTTGGCCCATTTCTCTAATCTGTCAAGATCGTTTTGAATTCTGCTCCTGTCCTCTGGAGTATTGGCTATCCCTCCCAATTTGGTGTCGTCTGCGAACTTGATGATCATGCCTTCGCCCTTCATCTAAGTCATTAATAAAGATGTTGAACAGGACTGGGCCCAGGACGGAGTCACTGGACAGAGCCCAGGACAGAGTCTCTGAGTCCCCTGAGGGGGAGAAAGGTGGGGTATAAATGAAGTAAATATAAATGTGAGAGCTGTTCAGCAGTGGAACTCTCTGCCCCGGAGTGTGGTGGAGGCTCCTTCTTTGGAAGCTTTTAAACAGAGGCTGGATGGCCATCTGTCAGGGGTGATTTGAATGCAATATTCCTGCTTCTTGGCAGGGGGTTGGACTGGATGGCCCATGAGGTCTCTTCCAACTCTTTGATTCTATGATTGAAAAGAGATCACATTAAACAGGAAATAAAACTTCCAAACCACGAACTTTTTTTTTCAAATTTTGTTACATTTGACGCCACTTTAACTTCCATGGCTCAATGCTGCGGAATCCTGGGATCTGCAGTTTGAAGAAGCACCAGAGGAAAGACCTTGTAGCACTACAACTCTCTAGAACTCAGCATGGAGCCGTGCCAGTGGAAACGACATGAATTGTAAAGTGTGGATGCTACCGTAGGCGTTGGGAGGGGGACGTTTTCCTTCCAGCCAGCCGCTTTCTGCTGTGTGAATCTGTCCACACAGCAGCAGCCTCTCCTTGTAAATTGAGAAGCGGGGGGGCGTGCCAAAGCGGGGAGGAGGGGCGGGGCCAGCCCGGGGGTTTCCTTAGCAACCGCCCGGGGAAGGGAGCAGGCTTGGGCCTGGTTGCTAAGGCCCCGCAGGAGGAGCCTGCAAAGTAACAACAACAGCGGCAATTGCTGGCTGTATTGGCGGGGAGTGGGCTTCATCTCCCCTTTGTGATCCTTGAGGAGACCCGAAGGGAGGGTTAATCTATGCTCCATAACTCCTACGCTTCCTCAGGAACGTCTTTCTTTGCATTCTGAGCTCAAGGGCCTTGGCTTCTCTCCTCTCCACCATGTCTCATAAGTGAGTTAAGGAAAGGCTTGGGGCCTGAAGCATTTGGGGTTTTTTTTGAGGTGGGTGGTGGTGTTTGGAATACTTATAAGGAGATATCTTAGGCCCTTTCAATACTGCCATGTAAAATCCAGATTATCTGCTTTGAACTGAATTATCTGGCAGTTATCTAGACTCAGATAATCCAGTTCAAAGCAGATAATCTGGATTGTCTGCCTTGATATTCTGGATTATATGGCAGTGTAGAAGAGCCCTTAGAGATAAGAGTCCAATGCCCATTCTACACTACCATATAATCTAGATTATCAAAGCAGAGAATCCATATTATTTGCTTTGAACTGAATTATATGGTCCCCTCTACACTGTCCTATATCCCAGTATCTGATCCCAGATTATCTGTTTTGAACTGGGTTATATGAGTCTCCACTGCAATATAATCTGGAGTAACCATAATATGGGATCCAGGCATGGGGGGGGGGGGGGCTTGAGGGGCTTCAGCCCCCCCCCCCAAAATTCTCATGGTGGTTCGCGAAAAGGCCTTACTGGTGCATTATTTAAACTGTTATGTTTATTCATATCATGATCTGATCACCATACTCAATATATCCCATATGCATGGGGGTATTGGGGTAATGATACAAAAGGTTTGCTAGGCTAGACCCTCTTTCACTCAGACTCGCCCCCCCCGAAACAGCCCCCCACCCCCCGATCAGGGATCCCCAGTGGAACAATGAGTTAAACTGCTGAGCTGCTGAACTTGCTGACCAAAAGGTTGGCAGTTTGAATCTGCAAGGCGGGGTGAGCTTCCGCTGTTAGGACCAGCTTCTGCCAACTGAGCAGTTCGAAAACATGCAAAGGTGCGTAGATCAATAGGAACTGCTCCAGGCGGGAAGGTAATGGCTCCATGCAGTCATGCTGGCCACATGACCTTGGAGGTGTCTACGGACAATGCCGGCTATATATCTCTTAGGGTCCTTTCACACAGCACTATATCCCAGAATATCAAGGCAGACTATCCCACAATATTTGCTTTGAACTGGGTTTAGTCCACACTCAGGTAATACGGGGTTTTCTGCCTTGATATTCTGGGATATAGGTCTGTGTGGAAGGGCCCTATGACCTTTTCTACACTGCCATATAAAACCCAGATTATGTGCTCCAAACTGAATTATATGGCAGTGGCAGACAGGGCCTGAGCAGATCTGAATAAGACATTGTTGTACAATGGTGTAACATAGACTCATAGAATCAAAGAGTTGGAAGAGACCTCATGGCCCATCCAGTCCAACCCCCTGCCAAGAAGCAGGAATGTTGCATTCAAATCACCCCTAAAAGCTTCCAAAGAAGGAGCCTCCACCACACTCCGGGGCAGAGAGTTCCACTGCTGAACAGCTCTACAGTCATTTTTTTCTTTTTGTTGTTGTTCCCAGACATAGTAATCTCACTTTAAGAGACCAGGAAAAGACCAAGAGACCAAGAAGCAGGAAAATTGAATTCAAAGCACCCCTGACAGATGGCCTCTGTTTAAAAGCTTCAAAAGAAAGAGCCTGCACCACACTTTGGGGCAGGGAGTTCCAGTGCTGAATGGCTCTCACAGTCAAGAAGTTCTTCCTCGTGTTCAGATGGAATCTCCTTTCTTGTAGTTTGAAGCCATTGTTCCGCGTCCTAGTCTCCAGGGAAGCAGAAAACAAGCTTGCTCCCTCCTCCCTGTGGCTTCCTCTCACATATTTATACATGGCTATCATATCTCCTCTCAGCCTTCTCTTCTTCAGGCTAAACATGCCCAGCTCCTTAAGCCGCTCGTCATAGGGCTTGTTCTCCAGACCCTTGATCATTTTAGTCGCCCTCCTCTGGACACATTCCAGCTTGTCAATATCTCTCTTGAATTGTGGTGCCCAGAATTGGACACAATATTCCAGGTGTGGTCTAACCAAAGCGGAATAGAGGGGTAGCATTACTTCCCTGGCAAAAAACAAAAACAAAACCATTGGAACTACAGTAAATTGCATAAATATGTATGCCATAATAGCTCTGCAGAGCTGTGGGTTTTATGTTCATTTATATATGTGCTAAGTATTCTGCTGGCAATGTGTATCTTTAGTACTTGTTTTAAGAACTAAAGTGTTCTTTTCTTTCAATTAGCACTTACAATAAAATATGGGCAGATGCCCAGGAATCCCTCAACAGTCTGCTGCAGAAGGAGATTGAAGAAAAGTCCCAAAGGCCACTGAAAGATCGCTTAGTAGTGTTTCAAATGCTAGCTACTTTCTACATCAAATATGTGCAAATATTTCGGAATTTGGAGGCTGCTTATGACCAGATTGTTCACCCACAAAAACGCTTAATTATTCGGCAAATGCTGGATGGCGTAATGGGCCGTATCTTGGAACTGAAGAATGAAATGGTGGGCTTGGATTACTCTGAATATCATTACTTTGATGACATTTTACAGGATCTTAAACTGTCTCCTGTAAGTATATTGCTAACTGATTCTGGCAATTATATTTTTTTTGTTTTGTTTAATTTTCTTATCTCTCTGTTTTGGAAAACACTGCATCTTATGTGTTATGTGAAAATTTGGTGAGGTGCTATGGGTTTTCCCACAATTTCAGTTGGTTACTTTGATTCCTTCACACATGCTGTTAATTCAGGGGTCTTCTACGCTGCCATATAATCCAGAATATCAAAGTAGATAATCCACATTATCTGCTTTGAACTCGATTAAATGAGTCTACACTGCCATAAAATCACGTTCAAAGCAGATAATCTGGATTTTACTTGACAGCTCACACAGACATTCAGCATTCTACTATAGACTATTTCCTGATAGGCATTAACAACACAAAGTTCTTGTGGGTTTTTTCGGGCTATATGGCCATGTTCTAGAGGCATTTCTCCTGACGTTTCGCCTGCATCTATGGCAAGCATCCTCAGAGGTGAGGTCTGTTGGAACTGGGAAAAGGGGTTTATATATCTGTTCCCAGTTCCAACAGACCTCACCTCTGAGGATGCTTGCCATAGATGCAGGCGAAACGTCAGGAGAAATGCCTCTAGAACATGGCCATATAGCCTGAAAAAACCCACAAGAACTTAGTGATTCCAGCCATGAAAGCCTTCGACAATACATTAACAACACAATTCCAATAAAAGAACTTTTGGTGGGCAAACAATGGCCAGGAGACCATGCACCTCTCTATTTAAAATTGGGAAACTATACCATAAACAAAGTGAAAAACAAGGGAAACAAGGGAAAACAAAGATTATTAAATGAAAGATGGGAAGGGCCAAATAAAAACGGGGGGGGGGGGGGATTTGTGAGGAGGGATTTCCCTCCTTGTCCCCCCTGTCTCCTCAGCCATTATTTCCTCCCGCTAGMAGGATGCAAGGAGGAAATATATGGCAGTCAGGTACATTTTCTTTAGCTTTTAGCTTCAGGGCGACTGTATGCCATCCCAATTTTAATTGGGGTGGCATGTAGCCCCCCSCCCCCCAAAAAAAAGCCCYGGTTTTTRAGGGGACAYTAGYGACTGAAATCCARGCKGAAGRGGGTTTTTTAAAACCTGCTTCAGCACAGATTTTAGTCCTGTCTGGAAATGCCCTCATATGACCCAGTTCAAAGCAGATAATCTGGGATCAATTCCTGGGATATAGACTAGAGTAGATCCAGCTTCAGAGAGGATTGACGGGAAAAGAAGAAATAAATCCCAGAGAGTATACATTCACGTCACAGAAGGATCCAGATAGGGAGACAAGGAAGGACACTTTGGGTCACTCACACTATCTAACCTTATTACTGGTGAATGCTCTGAGGTATCCTTTGTTCCTCAGTGGTAAGCATTGTTGCACTGTTAACAGTATTAATAAAGGATCAACATGGTTTATACAAATATTTTCCCTTCCCCTATAGGAAAACATTGAAATCCCCATCCCAAGATATTTTATTAAAGAGAAAGTAAAGGTGCTGAAAGAGAGAGAGAGAATCCTTGCTCAGATAATGATGGATGCTGGAATATATGATGATGAACCTGTGAGTATATCATAATTCAGAGGATTCCAAACATTTCATATTAGTGACACACTTTTTAGATATGCATCATTTTGTTACACAGTAGTTCAATTTTACTAGCAAACTGAAGATTAAATCAACCCCTTACCATAGATACATACATAAATTGTAATAATGAAATGAATGGAAATACAATGTATCTCATGAAAATCTTTTCTTCTGTTTTTAAAAAATGCATGATCTATTGCTTATTTCACATAGACTCAGGTTTCTCATTACTTTTGCGTGACACACCATCACACTGTAGTTGACATACTAATGTGTTGTGACTTGCAGTTTGGAAAGATTTGATAATCAATCCTACAATAACTCTAGATGCTGGTCATCCAAGCAACAACTAAGCTCCATTCACCTCTGAGATCTCTGGTCTCAGTTGCCTGCCTTGCAGTGTTGTCCAGTGTCTCCATCCCATTGCTACAGAAATACTGAACTTTTCAACTGAGGGAACATTTTTGCATTTGAAAGAGGCAAAACTATTTTATTTCATGAATCATAGAATCATAGAGTTGGAAGAGACCTCATGGGCCATCCAGTCCAACCTCCCTGCCAAGAAGCAGGAATATTGCATTCAAATCACCCCTGACAGATGGCCATCCAGCCTCTGTTTAAAAGCTTCCAAAGAAGGAGCCTCCACCACACTCCGGGGCAGAGAGTTCCACTGCTGAACAGCTCTCACATTTATATTTACTTCATTTATACCCCACTTTTCTCCCCCTCAGGGGACTCAGAGCGTTATACAACAGACCCTAATAATGGAGGTATTTTACCTCAGGCACTTTTTAATCTCACCGCTGCCACCAATTCTACAGATGTGGATGTTATGGAGGGAATTTACCTCAGGCCTCAATTGTGTAGAAGAGTATATTATGGAGGAGGCCAATTATTATTTGTAAATTAAGGTAACTGCCACCAACGTGAGGTATTTGAGGTACCACCGATGAGATCTGGCTCTACAGACGCAGATTAGTTGAGATGAGAAGGTTTTCAACAAAAGATAACAAGTTTATTGTGTACAAAGCTTATGGTTGCAGGCTGTTAAATAACTTATGGAACTTTGAATATCACATGGTTTATAATACAGTCCACTCTTCCAGATAACACAGCTTGTGGCTAACTTTCACTGGGGTGAAGCTCTCTAGTGAACAATGTTTCACTACTATAAATAGCCTTTCAATTTGATCTTCCCTCGATCAAATCTCTGATCTCTAGTCCTTCCTTAACTAGGGATCTTAACTAGGCTTCCTCTAGTCTTCTTTGACCAAAGAATCTGGCCAGGTTTCCCTTCTCAGCCCTCCCAGCCTGAAAAACACCAGCCGCTCACACACAAGTCTCTCTCTCAGACCTTTCCAAGCCTCTCCTGCTGTTTTTTTAAAAACGCACATAACTTTTCTGCTTGGCTCCGCCCACTTCTCCCTCTCATGAGCTAGCCAGCCTCGCCTCCTTGGCAACGCTCACTGTGGATTCAAACCAGATGACTCCAGTTTTAGCTACTGTTACAATCACAAATACATGCTCTAACAGTTAAACACAAACATAATAACAATGACTTCTGCACAAGTAGCTATTAAATTAATACAAATAAAATTCATTATATTAAAATGATCTCATTTATTCCATACTATAGAATTCTAACAAAATAAAAAGAGTTACTTACTATGGAAAAATAATACTGTTGAAATTTGCAATTTCCTGCTTTGAACTGATGTAATGATTTGTAGTGTTTACCTCCACTGTGAGTTAAGCATTACAGTTTTATTTTTTTCCCCCCTTCCTAAATTGAAATCTGAGCCAAATATGTCCTCCTCCTTGCTGCTGTCTTTGGGAAATGTAGTTTCATTGAAATACAATCAAAGGATTCTGATGTGTTGGTAATGCTTTCCACAGATGCTGGCCCCATAACATTCTAGCAGGAAGAGAGGATGGGAGTAGAAGATGCATTTATGGGTTGGTTGTGATACTCCTCAGAATTCCCACCAAGAATTACTTATTCTTTGATTGTCCCTTGGGGTTGAAGTTGTAAGGAAAGTGGTTTCCATTTTAAGAGGTTGGATTTGGATTTGCTTAAAGGTATATATTTTTCTCTTACTCTCCTGCATTATGTTCCAGCGAAAGCAAGTGAAAGTCATGCCCTTTGAAGAAGCTGTTAGAGCCATTCAAATAGCTGAGCGAGCTCGGCAAGGCCGACTCAGGGCTACGTTCATGAAGCAAATCTATCTTGAAGAAAAGAGAGAGAGGCTAGCCAGACTTCACGGCACAAAAGGTCCAGATCTGGAAACAGCTGCAATATGTATTCAAAAGGTAAGATACCAATTGCTGTATAAAGTTGCTGTATAAATGTAACAAATAACTATGGTAGATTGATAAATAGACATACAGATCGATGGTATTCTGTATTTAAATTTAAGTTGGCAATATCTCCCAATTTCACTGTGTAATTGGCTCTGTCCAGAATTTATGAAATTTTGGAGTAATTTGGAGGATATTCCAAAACTCCAAGAAATCCAGGAAATACTAATGAGGAATATCAGCTTATTCTGTTGTCCCCAGCTGCCTGCTAGTTTATCCACCATCACTTCTTGAACTTTTGAGAAGAAAGCAGAGATGGATGCTGGAAAACATCCTTGAAAGTACTGATTGCTATCAATCCTAAATATGATTATTCCTGTTTCAGTGAACTCAGCCAATGAAAATAATACTGGAGTTCCCAGATGCCTTGATAGCACATCGCAAGTGCTGAACCTGACTCAGCACATAGAAGACGGCTTTGAAAGGCAGCAGATCACAGGAGCTGTCTTCATAGACCTGTCAGCAGCTTATGATACTGTAAACCACTGCATCCTCCTGAGAAAAAATGTATAATATCACATTGACTACCACCTCACCCGCCTCATAGGAAATGTGCTACAAAACAGGAGCTTTTTTGTTGAGTTCTAGGGCCAGAGAAGCAGATGGCGGAAACAGAAGAACGGCCTGCCTCAGAGGAGCGTGCTTGCTCCATCCATGTTCAACATTTACACAAATGACCAGCCACTGCCGGAAGGGACAGAGAGCTTCATCTATGCTGATGATCGCGCCATTACTGCTCAAGCAGGGAGCTTTGAGATGGTTGAACAGAAGCTCTCCGAAGCTCTAGGTGCCCTTACCGCCTACTACAGGGAAAACCAGCTGATCCCTAATCCATCTAAAACACAGACATGTGCCTTTCACCTTAAGAACAGACAAGCATCCCGAGCTCTGAGGATTACCTGGGAAGGAATCCCATTGGAGCATTGCAGCACACCCAAATACCTGGGAGTCACTCTGGACCATGCTCTGACCTACAAGAAGCACTGCTTGAACATCAAGCAAAAAGTGGGCACTGGAAGCAACATCATACGAAAGCTGACTGGCACAACCTGGGGATCACAACCAGACACAGTGAAGACATCTGCCCTTGCGCTATGCTACTCTGCTGCTGAGTATGCATGCCCAGTGTGGAACACATCTCACCACACTAAAACAGTGGATGTGTCTCTTAATGAGACATGCCACATTATCACAGAGTGTCTGCGCCCTACACCACTGGAGAAATTACACTGCTTAGCCGTATTGCACCACCTGACATCCGCCGGGAAGTAGCAGCCAATAGTGAAAGGACCAAGGCAGAGACATCTCCAGCTCATCCCCTGTTTGGGTCTCAGCCAGCACGTCAACGACTTAAATCAAGAAATAGTTTTCTAAGATCTACAGAGACACTCGCTGGAACACCTCAGCAAGCGAGAGTCCAAAAGTGGCAGGCTCAAACCCAGAACCTCAATCAATGGCTGATACCAAATGAGAGACCCCCCCCCCCGGCACTCCGAAAACTGGGCAAATTAGAAGGCGCTGAACAGACTGGGCTCTAGCACCAGGAGAAGCAGAGCCAATCTTAAGAAATGAGACTACAAAGGAATCCACGACATGCGAGTGTGGAGAAGAGCAAACCACTGACCACCTGCTGCAATGCAACCTGAGCCCTGCTACATGCACAATGGAGGACCTCCTTGCGGCAACACCAGAGGCACTCCAAGTGGCCAGATACTGGTCAAAGGACATTTAATCAACTACCAAGCTTGCAAACTTTGTGTTTTGTCTGTTTGTTTGTTTGTTTTTTTAATGTAATACAACTGTCTGGTTGCTCCTGACACAATAAATAAAATTGGTAGAAAAAGAATGATACACGACTTTTCTGGCTATCAAACTTCCCTAACATGCCCCCCTTCCCAAAAAAGTATTGAGATCTATTGAACCTGTTTCCATGCTAGAGTTTGACTCCACTCAAGAGACTTAGTACTATCATAAATTTATATGAGCTGTTTGTTACTACAATGTGTTTAGCTTGGTTTCTAAATAATAGTATTTGCTTCCCACACTTTAGGAAACAGTTATGGATTGTAAGAAGTATTCTAGGCAGCTGTAGTCTTAAATAATCAAATGTAATAATTTGCCTGGAATTAATGTCTTCAATTTTTATAACCTATGTCAGGAATGTTTTGAATGAGTTACCTCTATTTTTAGTGAAAAAATCGAATATGATACTGATGTCGTAACTTGACAAGTGGTAGAGAACAGAAATGTTTGTGGTGTGTGTTGTTGTTGTTTATTTGTTCAGTCGATTTTGACTCTTCGTGACCTCATGGACCAGCCCATGCCAGAGCTCCCTGTCAGCCGTCACCACCCTCAGCTCCTTCAGAGTCAAGTCAGTCACTTCAAGGATACCATCCATTCATCTTGCTCTTGGTCAGCCCTTCTTCCTTTTTCCTCCCTTTTCCCCAGGATCATTGTCTTCTCTAAACTTTCCTGTCTTCTCATGATGTGGCCAAAGTACTTCATCTTTGCCTCTATTATCCTTCCCTCCAATGAGCAGTTGGGCTTTATTTCCTGAAGTATGGACTGGTTGGAGCTTCTCGCGGTCCAAGGCACTCAGAATTTTCCTCGAACACCACAGTTCAAAAGCATCCATCTTCCTTTGCTCAGCCTTCCCTATAGTCCAGTTCTCACATCTGTAGTGTAAGAAGACAGTATGCATTTTTTGCTCTGTGGAATATGCCTAAAGCCAGGATCACTTTGGTAGAATTCTAAAAAGGAAGAACCTGAAATCATGGTTCTGGGGCCAGGCTTTTGGACAGCAGGCATAATATCACTTTGGATGTGGAATTGGACTGGAATGGCTATATGGTTGACAAATATTTTTCATTGATTTTAATTTAACGATTTATTTATTGTTTTAAACTGTTGTTACATTGTTGTATTTGCTTGTATGCTGCGGCATTAAACTGCTGCCGAGTGTGAGCCGTCCTGAGTCCCTCCCCTGGGGATTAAGAAGGACGGGGTAGAAATGCTGGAAATAAATAATAATAAATAAAATGGTCTCAACTTTTATTTGGAAAAGATCATTTTTGTACTTGAATCAAGTTGTTTCTGATTCAGTAATCTATCATAAGATTTTCTTAACAAGATTTGTCTGCCTTTCTATGAGGCTGAGAGAGTGTGACTTGCCCAAGATCATCCAGCTGGTTTCCATGACTGAGCAGAATCTGCGTAATTCTCTTTGATCATAGTCCAACATTCAAACCACTAAAAGTGCTAGCTCCTGCATTGGAAAAAATAACAAAATATCGTACTTTTATAGAATATGTTGTTATATGCCCTATAAGTGTCTTCCAGTGACATAATCTTTAGCTAATTTTAGAAATGTGAAATTTCTTCTGGATGAATATCAAATTATTATATCAATAAGTACTACTTATTCATATTTCAAAAGTATGCTATATTTTGCTTGTGGAAAAAAGAAGGTGGGTTCAGTTTATTTAATATATATCTTTAATTGTATCTGTATAGGTATTATTGTTCTAGTTATATAAAAAGAAAAGGATTAAAATGAGTGGAAGAAGAGAGAAATGTGTAGAACTGCAGGCTAATTACTAGAATAATACAATATAAATTGCCATAAGTTGTGAAGGAAACATTGACCTACTAACAATGACAATCTGTAAATCACAGTTGCTAGATTGGTGGAGTCTGACTTTCCTGCCTTCGTTTGTTTAACTCCTTGATACTGTGAAAAAAGTCAGAAAAATGGCAACTGATATTAAATTTCTGTTTAAAATGCAGTATTGGCGTGGATACTACCAGTGGAAGAAAACTCTGAAACTTAGAGAAGAAGAAATGATATTTCTAGGAATGGTGAGTCTTCCTTTATATTTTTTCATCATTGTAAATAATAATATATAATGTTCAATAATATAAATGAAGTTACAAGTGAAGGTTTTATTAGATACTAGCTTGGGGACCCGGCGCTGCCCGGGTTATTTGAGAAAGGAATTGTGTATTAAAGTTGGTCTTTATCAGTTATTTATATGGCTCACAGTGGTCTCAGGAAGTTATTGAAGGTAATGCGAGTCCCATCATCTGTGGTCCACCCTCCTCCAAATTGCACCAGAAAGTGCCATTTTCTCAGGAAGTGAGTGATGGTACTGCAAGTCCCATCATCCATGGTTCATCCTCCTCCAAACTGCAAAACTATGTGCCAAGGGGGCTCTGTGTGCTAAGTTTTGTCTTGATCAGTCATTGGATGAGGGTCACAGTGGTCTCAGAAAGTGAGTTTAGGTACTGCAAGTCCCATCATCCATAGTCTGTTCTCCCCCAAACCTCACCAGAATGTTGAGTTGGCCAAGGGGCTCTCTGTGCCAAGTTTGGTCTTTCTTGGTATTTGGATAAGTGTCGCTGTGGTTTCAGGAAGTGAGTGAAGGTACTGGAAGTCCCATCATCCATCGTCTGTCCTCCTCCAAACAGCATCGGGATGTAGAGGGTCATGGGGGCTCTGTGTGCCAAGTTTGGTCTTGATTGGACATTAGATGTTGCAGCAGTCTTGGGAAGGGAGTGGAGGTACTTGAAGTCCCATCATCCATTGTCTGTCCTCCTCGAAAGTGCACCAGGTCATGGGGACTTTGTGTGCCAAGTTTGGTCTTGATCAGTCATTGGCGAGGGTCTCAGTGGTCTCAGGAAGTGAGTGAAGTGACTGCAAGTCCCATCATCCATTGTCAAATTTTTCCAAACTGCACCAGGATGTAGAGTGGGTCATGCGGGCTCTCTGTGTAAATTGTGTTCCTGATCCATCATTGTTGACAGTTGTAATGGTCTTAGGAAGGGACTGCAGGTATTGCAAGTCCCATCGTCCATGCTGCATCCTCCTCCAAACCACACTAGGATGTAGAGTGCGTCATGGAGACTCAGTGTGCCAAGTTTGGTCTTTATCGGTAATTGGATGAGGGTTGCAGTGGTCTCAAGAATTGAGCAAAGGTACTGCAAGTCCCATAATCCATGGTCCATCCCCGGCCAAACCACACCAGGACGTAAAGTGGGTCATGAGAGGTCTATGTGCCAAGTTTGGTCCTGATCAGTCATTGGATGAGGTTAACAGCGGTCTCAGAATGTGAGTGATGGTACTGCAAGTCCCATCATCCATGGTTCATCCTCCTCCATACTGCAGTAGGATGTCGAGTGGGTCATGGGGCTCTGTGTGCCAAGTTTGGTCTGTATTGGTAATTTTCTGACTCAGCCTCCCCTGGCCTTTTCCTTTCCTCTTTTTGTCATCTCGGAATCTTGGAACTGAGGCTGGCCAATCAGAGACCATATGCAAATTTCCTTCTCTATGTCTCCGTTTCTGTCATGAACCCTTTTCTCCACCAGGGGCTCCTCTTGAAGCTGGCCAATCAGAGACCATATGCAAATAGCACCACAGCGGCAGCCAATCAGAATGCTGGCACATACTCCTCCACTCGCATCGCCACACGTCCGCCGCATACAAACTTTGACTTTTATTATATACATAGATAGATAGATATAGATATAGATATAGATACAGATATAGATATAGACTAGCTTGGGTACCCAGTGAAGTCCGGGTTATTTGAAAAAGGCATTGTTTGTTTTTGGACATTAGATATATTACCTAACATCTAAGAACACTTAGGTAATTTGTAACACTATTTATTAGAAAGAAGCCAGTCTTTGTTTTTGTTTTTTATGAATGTTCACATTAGAAAATACATAAGGAGGTGGGTGAGCTACAATTCCCAAAATCATAGGTCAATCCTTCCCTAAACTGCCAGTATTCCCAGTTGGCCATGTTGGATCTATGTCCCCAGGGGAGTGGCGGCATATAAGTTTAAATAATAAATAAATAAAAATAAATAAGTTTGGTCCAGATCCGTCATTGGCTCAGTTCAATACTTTCTTGATAATGGTGAACTACAGATCCCATATTCTAAGGTCAACTTTCTCCAAACCCCGCCAATATGCAGTTGATCATGTTGGGTTTGTGTGCCAAGTTTGGTCCAAATCCATTACTTGCCAGATTCAGTGTTCTTTGAATACAGCTGGACTATAACTCCTGGATGCCAAGGTCAATCACCCCCCACCCCCCCCCCCCCCCCCCCCCCCCCCCCCCCCCCCCCAGTATGTTCTGTTGATTATGCGGCGGGGACATGTGCCAAGTTTGGTCCAGATCCATTATTCATTGGGGTCGCAGTGGTCTGTGGAACTGGGAGCCAACAGAAAAGCAAAGAGAAACATTGCCACAAACATACATATATACAAACATTCTCTCTCTCTCTCTCTCTCTCTCTCTCTCTCTAGATAGATAGATAGATAGATAGATAGATAGATAGATAGATAGATAGATATAATATTATATATAGAGAGAGACAGAGATTGGGGGGAAAGATTCACAAGGAGTAGTGACAGATTCACAAGGAGTAGGTTGTAGGTTGTAGGTTTTTCCGGGCTATATGGCCATGTTCTGGAGGCAATTTTTCTCCTGACGTTTCGCCTGCATCTATGGCAAGCATCCTCAGAGGTAGTGAGGTTTTTTAGGATGTTGTAATGTATCTGCTTTGCTGGTTGTAATATTTGTTTTTGCTTGTCACTTGTATACAATAAAACTTAAAAATTTGTATACAATAAAACTTTAAAAATTGTACACAAGAATAATATAAATACAGTTCTGTATCTCTGTGTTGTAAAACTTGATAGTGAAAACTTGTTGGAACATCAAAACAGGCATAATTAAGAACCTTACTTCGGACATTTATGGTGTACAACTGACCTAATTGTAAAAGATAATAAATATATAGCTTTAAGTGTGGGACCCCAAGTGAAGGATGGGTAAAACTAAAAGTAGTAGTCTGCTGCAACAAGAGACTGATTACAGCAATGGTTCCTTTGGCTCCTCAGACACTACAATTGCACCAAAATATCTTACCACAATAAATGCAGAAATCACCATTAAGAGCTGTGGGGGAGTTTTATTTCTTATCACAGTGTGTATGTGTGTATTTAAGATATACTGTATATAAAAGACAGACATACACTGTCCAGTCACTCCAGGGGGCAGTGCATGCTTGCAGAGGATTCCTATATAGGGCTCAGTAAAACTATGCCTTCTCCTTGCTTTGTGCGCAATTGGACTCTACTGAGCCCTGTGGCTAAAAGACAGTGGAAGGCCAATTATAGTGTGCCTCACTTCTGGACCCCTTGAACAACATTCCCTTCCAGGTCACACTGAATTTAGAGAAATTGTTTTCCATATTCAATGAAATATTGAGAGCAGTACCACAGATGTATGTGGAAGACAGCATTGCAAGCCATTCTAGTGAGGAAACAAAATGAGTAGGAGCAAAAGGAAACTGGCTGACTGCAAAATAGCTATGTCATGAACTTCGATTTAAAGGAGATAAATGTGAGAAATTGAAGGAGGTCATATCACCAAGGAGGGAAACAAGCAAGCAGCTGAAGTTTGTAGGGAGAGTGGCAGAATAGTTAATGTTCCGAATAAGTTGAGGCTGTGAGACATTAAAAATAACAAAATGGGTCTGCGGCTATGTTCAAAGCAAAAGAAAGAACAAGGAAGTTATAAGTCTGCTGTGTGGAAAAGATGAATACATGCTATCAGGTCAGAAAGAGATGGGAGAATGTCTTAGTTCCTGCTTTGCCTCAATTCTCAAACAAGCGAAACTGCTTAAACTGGCAAAAATAGATCAAATGATGATGTTTAGGGCTTGTAGGCCAAGGCAGGTTGAAGATATGTTATAGAACACAGACTGAAATGAATTCCAGACTTTCAGAGACAGTGTCAGAATTGTATGTGTGTATTGGGAGTGGAGAGCTGTCTGATGTTAGAGGGCCCAGTTGGGTTTGAACATGCCTCTATTTTCCCCTTCCCCATCTTTGCTCTCACCCACCCCCATTTAAATCTAGGAAAACCTCTTTTTCAATAGAAAGCAACTAGGAGGAAATTGCATGTTGGAAAAAAATGCTTTTTCCTGGGTCTAAAATGGCAGAGGGGTGGGTACAAATATGGTGACATTTCTTCTCACATCCCCATGGATAATGAGAACATGGATAATGAGAAGTGTGTGTATGTCTTTGGCGGGGGAGAGGTTATGTATGATTTATTTTACTTATTTTGTATCAAAAGCATGGCATACATTAGTACTGTATAAAACTGATAAAAATAGAAATCACACAAGATGGAGGATTCTTTTAAGTAGTGCCATTTTGCCAGGTTGTCTTTTGATCTGCCCACTCCACTTCTGAATCTGTTCAGGGACTTCCAAGTTGCCAATTCTTGGTTTGCCCCTGGTGGCAGACCCTTGAGGAGGGGCATCCAATTGGTATTTCCTGATTTAGCTGCCAGAGGGATACTTTTGCTGTTGCTGAGGGAACGTTAAGAGGAGTGGTGGTTCTCATGAAGCTTTTCCTTGATTTGAGTCTACTAGGTGGAGGCTTTCCCAGTATTCAACTTTTTTTATCTCACGGTTGGCAGCAACTTCCTGTTGCAAATCGGGGGGGGGGGGGGGGGGGGGGGGGGGGGGTAATGCTGGCTAGCTTGTAGAGTTTATTAACAGATGTAAGTTTGAGACATCCTGTGTTTATTCTGCATGTTTCGTTTAATGCTATGTTCACCTGCTTGGCATGGGCAGACTTGTGCCAAACAGGGCAGGTTTAATCTGCAGTTGAGTAAGACAAGGCCAGAACTGATATTCTTATTAATTTTGGGTCTTCACCGCATGTGCTGCCAGTAAATTTCCGCAGGATGTTATTTCCTGCAGCTACTTTGTGCTTGGTGTTAATCCAGTGTTTCCTATATGTTAGTGTTTGATCTAAGGTGACACCAAAATATT